TCCCCCACCTAGTTAGCTACTCCTTACCTTTGCTCTCTGACTTGTTGATGGCAGAGTGTGTGTTACTGGATGATATAAGTTGTTTTAGATTGTTACCCTGTAATTCAGAACATACTCCATCTGAAACTAAACTTGAACATTGTGTCAGTGAACAATATTGTCTGAGCAGTAGCAAGTAGTGAAAATGAAGTCCCTTTACTGCATGTGCTGTGTGCACATATACCTGCCTTTGTGTCTGTCATCACAGTTCAACACTGATAATTAATGGACACTAGCACAGAAAATATCATAATTTAAAGTTTATCTCTCTTTGTTTCCTGCAGGTTAATCCTGCTTGGGTGTCAGTACAGTGGGGACAAGTGGAGATGGTATGAGCAGATGTCCTGCTCGCATCATCTTTACTTGGATTAGTCACCATGGTAACCTTCCACCTGAAGGAGGACATTTATTCAGTGCGATCTGTGTGTCAGTGTGTATCTCTGTGTGTGTGTGAGCACATGCAAACACATTTGTGTGTGTAGGTGCATTCTGTGACTATTCAAATTGTTCAGACTCACACTGACCCAGAAAACAAGATCTCTCTCAGCAGCATTAACTCGCCTCCTCCACTATAACTATGCTGTACAAAATACAAAATATTACTAATACAAAATAATCAAGTCACAAACATTATTGAATGATGAGATGTAAAAGGTTCAGGGATAAGAAGATGAGGAACTGGCCCTCTGTACACAAGAACTTCCCCAGGATCAATGGTTTTCGTGAAACCTCACTGCTAACTATGAAACCCACTCATAATTAATATAGTTTTTATTGCCTTTGAATTTAATAAAAAATCAGCAGGGTGCATCTGGTCCTGTGAAATGATCTAATGTTCTATGACCTTTACATGACCATGCAACACAATCATCAGATAATGGCTCCCAGCTTGTGGCTGTCTGAAACCATTAGAAGGTTGCCACCTCTAATATTTTGCATTTGACTGCATAAACTAATCTGGGAGCAGGAAAAGGGGAAAGATGAATCAAGATGGATCAGAAGATCTAAAAGATATAGACAAACATTTCCTCTAACTTCTCATCCTGTGCTAGCTTTGCTCAGTGTATATGAGCAGAGTCAAAGCATCAGAAGAGTCACTGAGAGCATTCTGTTCATGTATTAGCTGATACTGGAGCCAGCTCTTAACCTTCACTGACTCCTGAGCTTTCCACTTTCATTGCCATCCTGGCAGTGTATCGGGTTGTCCATTTGACGATATGTAGTGGAGTGGCAGTAACAACAGTGCACCACCATAGATTACATTCACAGGAATCACAGTGTGCTCTGTTGTCTGTCTCTAAATATAATTGTCTCAAATGTTTAAATCAACTTTGTGTGTTCAACATGAATTCACTCCAGTACTCAGAGTTAACAGTAGGACTTGATGGCCATACGGTATGTACTGATGGAGAACAAAAAGCTATGAAACAAGTGACCAGCAGAGGTGGCACATGACCAGTGAGAAGGAATGAATAGATTTTTTATACAGACAGATAAGGATTCAAAGTAGAACTGTACTACCTTTGTCCTGGATTACACTACCCCTGACACATGCAAACTTCCCCATCTGTACAGTATTTAACAGGGAAATTTGATGCAATAGTGTAAGTGTGTGCGTGTGTGTGCATGAGGGTGCTGTATCTATAGTTTCTCCTCAGACCTTGTGAAGAAAGATGAAAAATCTCCGTCATCCATCCACAAAAACACATTCATGTACTATATGTTGGCCATTAGTAGTTCAGATAGTGGAACATGTTCAGACACAAATACACACACATACACAGTTGTGCCTCCATCACTTTAAAAACATTGCACTGGGTTGCATCACTACTTGCCAAACTCCAACCCTTACCCTAACCCATTTCTAACATTAGCCCTCAAACCAAGTCTTAACCCTCAAACAGGACATTGTCAGAAAGTGAGGAGCTGCCAAAATGTCCTCACTCCCATGGTGTAAAACTCAGATTTGTCCTCACAATGTACAGTATAGCCATACATGTGATATCACAAATATCCTCAATCTGTAGCAAAAAATACTATATAGCAAGTAGAAGTACACACACACACACACACACACACACACACATACACAGCATCTGTGTCCATGTAAGCCTTTCCTTTCACCTGCTCATCACCTGCTCTGGGGGCAAGCAGGATGACAGGGTAAAGAGAAGGACAATGAATGGGTTAAGAGAAGACAATGAGAAAGCTGTTCATACAAGTAGACAGGCCCACCTTACACACGCCTACAGGTGGAACACACACACACACACACACACTAGTTGAATCCTTTTCTCTATATTAGTAACACAAGGAAGATAGCTACCGTCTAACAGCCTCTGTGCTCCATACCTTGCTGCATTGTTTTTGTCACTATCATAAAAACATTTCTGCTGTTAGATGCTTCCATCTAAATGCCATCACAATCCTTTCTAAGTTCTTGTTTGTCATTTCTGCTCTGCAAGTCAAAGCAGTTAGCTGATGACCAAGTGATAAATCACTTACTGTGTACTATATGTTAATGCAGTAATAGTAGGTCTGTGCAACCCTGAATGTAATAAATATCTTCGCCACTAGATGTCACCAATAATGTAGGAAGACATACAAATGAAATGGAGTATCTCTTGCTTGTCACAGTGCTGTGGATAAGGATATTCACCTTTATTTGGCCAAGTCTATTACACACACAAGAAATTTGTTTCCGATACAGAACCAAAGCAGCCATCTGTAGCGGCAACTCACCGATGGCTCTAACCATCGGGGGCAACTTGAGGGGTCAGTGTCTTGCCCATGGACACTTTGACTTGTAGACTGCAGGCACCAAGATTCAAACCACCAACCCTCTGGTTGGAGAGACGACTGCTCTACCCGCTGAACCACAGTTGCCCCCCCATATACTGTACTGTGACAATGATATAAAATCACAAAACATGCAAGGTGAATAAACATAAATAAAAGAGCCAGAATATAAGTCTTATTTGAAAATCAGGATTTTTAAACACTCCATGAGACACAGAACTAATGAGCAGCAGCATCCCCCAAATAGATGTTGCTCTACACAGTGTCACAGGGTTCATCCAGGACATTACATGATAGAAAACGTAGTACAGCTTTGCATAATAGAGAAAATCATCACATCCCAAAAACTGCCTGAATGATTACGTTTATAATCTTTAATGAAAAAAAAAATCACATCTTCATTTTTCTATTTAATTCTACTTTGTATATAATGGATTTATAACTAGTTAACAGTTTTTAGGATGTGATGATTTTGATTGAAATTCATCTCACAATCATCTATAATGTGACTCTTTTGTGCTTATTCATCAGTCAAATTCCTGCAAATATTTTCATTCCTATGGTAAATAACATATATAATTATATTCAAGAGACAAAAAATATATATATATATTTAAATATGATGTTGAGCAAGCACTGACAAAATACTGCCTCTCCATTGAAAACTATTTCTATAACTAAAACTGTATGTATCAGTGCCAGAGATGTGGGTATTCAATAGAACAGACCAGGTTTTCCAATCGGTCCTGGTCAGAAAGTACGACTACTGTAGCTTTTTACAGCACTTCATTCAGTGGAGTCTTTCTAGATCAACCACTGGAAAAGAAGGGTGGCCCTCTAGATGTCTCAATACTCACTCTGTGGGATGCACAGGGCCTTTTCCCACCTCCAGTTTGGGATCCAGTTTACCTACAGTAGACAGAGTGGGGGGTGGGATCAACTCACAGAATGACTATTATCCAATCAAACTGTTGTGTCAGTGTGTTACCATTGTATGGTCCTGGGTGAGGCTGCCATAGTGATGACTAAGTCAGTTCGGGGCTCTGAGGACAATGGTGCGTTGGAGCCTCCACAAAGCACCAGGCTAATACTCCCCTTTCACCGGGTCCTCTCAACTGCTGAGTGTGCAAGGCTGCTGCGCAAATGGAGTGGTGCAGGGGGCCCGGCCCTATAAAAACACATGCGAGGGTCTCCTTCGTGACACTGATTATACTGGATCTGTCCCGCCTCAGCACTGTCTGTAAGTATATCAACACACTGCTTCAGACTCCACTAAGAAACTGAAGACAGCTCAGTGTTCTGGGGCAGAGCCCCACAGCCTTCAAGATGCTGCCCAAAGCTCTGTATCTGACAGACTGATAGGGGTGCACTTTAAATAAGGCTTAATCTTCTAAGAGTAAATACATGAGGCCACCTTCTACCTCTGTTTTTAGTGCAATACCTCAACAGCCATTTTAATAGAGACATTTGGAGAGATGATGCCTTACTGGTGTGTACCTGTGTTTTTTATGCTTAAATAAAAGAAAATGTGATAAGAATAACCTTTCCCCTGGCTAGAAAAATTCTGAAAGTAACATACTTCAGGCTGTACTTGAGATCACGTTATGCTTTTACGTTCTCGCTTACAGACGTGCTTTGCAGTTGTGGCATTTTTTTATGTAGAACTGCTACAGTACAGCTACAGGGTATATTCATGGGAAGGAGACATGTCCATCATTCTTGATTGAATCTGATCAGACAAATCTGTACAGTGGAGAAATGGAAAAATGATTAATGAGCAGGAATTTTTCACTTCTGGTGACACCTTTGGGCAGAGACCTTAATAGATATTTCTTTCCAAAATAAAGGTCCGGGTATTTACTCTTTTATCTTATTAACCAATGGTTTTTTCTCACCAATATAAGTTTGTAATTATAAGATAATTTAAATAAGCATCAATTAAAAGTCTGATTTCTCAAGATTAGAATGCTCTAGAAGTTTGCTCCTTCAAAATATCTGTTACGCATACATTTTCCTTGGTATTATGAACATTAGAACCCAGGATATGCGGGACTTTGGTTATTTTGATCTGAACGTTCCAGCCATTTAACACAAATCCTTTTTAAAAAAAAAAAAACCTCTACATTTTTCAGAAAGTAACCTCCAAAGCAGAAGAAGCAGCAATGAACACTCAACAGATGGAGCAGATGGGCCAGTTCAAGATCACAGTCTGGGAAGAGGAGAACTTCCAGGGAAAGCGCTGTGAATTCATGCTGGCGTGCCAGAACATCATGGAGAGAGGCTTCAACAAGATCCGCTCCTTCAAGGTTGAGAATGGGCCGTAAGTTCAGCATGTTCACTTTCACCTCTTGACCTTCTGATGTCATTTCTGGATCTTTTTTTTTCCCCTTCAATTTGAGATGAATATTCATTGCCATATTTAAGTTTATATATTTTAGTACATGTAATTGTAGGTTTAAGTAACCCTATAGAGATTTTGTATTGTTATCTTTACGAAGAATAATGTAACTACACAATTTTTACAGTATGATGATCCTTGGCCTTTCACAAATGTTTTATTAAATATTGGTGCTCAAAAATTGTGGATAACTAAGAGACATTTTTACGCCATAACTAATATATGATACAGTCCCATTTTTTACTTCTATTATAATTTTAATTTTATTTGCTTGAAAAAGTCTGATTAAAGCACAAGTCTCAAACACTGACTGTAATCAACTGCAGAAAAGGCAGGATAACAAAAACCATAAATTGCAACCTAGTTTTTTATTACTTTGTTAGTTGGCATGTATTGTTTGTGTGTTTGTGTGTGTGTGTGCATTCATCCAAGTGTGACCCTGTTGTGATATGAGTTGGCTGTGTGCAGCTGTCGGCTGTAAGCCAGAATGGCTGACTGGTTGACTGGTGATCAGATAAAAAAACCCCGGGTGCAGCAGCAGCAGTAGCAGCGGCGGCGGCAGCAGCAGTGGCGGAGGCAGGAGCAGTGGTGTCTAATGTTTGCTTTGTGCTCTCAGCGACAAAAGAAGCTGCATGTTGCTTTTACCAGAGGCTGTTCATTGGGAAATGGGCTTTACTATTTCACAAAAATGATATTTAAAACCATACTGTATTTAATGGTACATCATAGGTTTATGTGGATAATCAACAACTTCTCTTGCTTGGTTTCAGTTCTTTTCTTAGTTCTCTTGGCACAGTTAACATCAACATTTCCAACCTTGTTACCGTCCTCCAGCTGGGTGGGTTTTGAGTACCCAGAGTTCCAGGGACAGCAGTTTGTTCTGGAGAAGGGAGACTACCCTCGCTACGAGGCCTGGAGTGGAAACAGCAGCTACAGAACTGAGCACATGCTTTCCTTCAGACCCATCAAATGTGCTGTGAGTTCTACCGATTTTTCCATTCATCCTCTTTTCACCAGTCAGCCTCTGTCAGCTGCTATGCAATAAATGGCTTACTTCCCAGCCCCACCCTCCTCCACACAAACCACAGCCTATTCCTAATGTAATCTGCTGCACTATTTGCACTCTAATATTTCAGTCTTTTTAATTTTACAGCCATAATTTAGGCTAGGTATATTCAGGCACATACCACACCAGCACCTTACCTGACTGGAGCAGCACCATCACCCTTTTTCCTCTCTTTCTCTGCAGAACCACAGTGACAGTAAGGTGACCCTGTATGAGTGTGAAGACTTCCAGGGTCGTAAGTTTGAGATCTGTGATGACTACCCCTCCCTACAGGCCATGGGCTGGTGCAGCAAGGAGGTGCCCTCTATCAAAGTCAGCTCAGGAGCGTAAGTCATGCACGTTCCTCTTTGTTGACTGGTCTCTGTTTCCTGTTTCCTCCTTTTGCTGCCTTAAGTCTCATCTCCAATTTAATTCTTCTTATATGTGTATATTCTGTCGAAACACATTAACTGCAAACATTCTGCTCTAAGATATTGTTTGTGGCAGTACAGTAGGGGCAAACAGGCACACTGAGACAGGTCAATCTGTCCTGACTGGCTGCAATTTTGGAGAGAGGCCTTGACACCCTCTCTCTCTTCTCTCTCTGCAGCTGGGTGGCCTACCAGTTCCCCGGTTACCGTGGCTACCAGTACATCCTGGAGCGAGACAGACACCAAGGCGAGTACAGAAACTACAATGAGTACAGCACCCAGGCTCACACCAACCAGGTGCAGTCCATTCGTCGGATCCAGCACTAAGCCTTCGTTCTGCCTGCCTGCCTCAACCTGGAAACAAAGAACTCTAACTGGACCCGGGACAGACCACTGTCACAGAGCTCCTTCTATCACTCTGTGGCTCTGCATGTGTGGATACCCAAGTACTTCTACTACCATGCTAAAGCATGTTCTTCAAACAGGAAATAAAGGTTTTTCCTCAAAACTAGAGACTGTTTGTCAGTATTTCTTTGTTTAATTTACAATTAAGTTTAATGACTAATCAAACAGTAGTTGGCTATATAGTCCTGTCTATCAATTTGTACCTTTGGGTTTGATAGTAAGTCGTACTACATGTACACACATATTGCAAAATCAAAGCCCATACTCTTTTTTGTTTTTAGCTCAGACAAACTAGGCTGTTAACAGATTTTGGTTTTGCATTGTATTTATTTAAAGGACTTACATTATCTATCCTTTTAGTAAGCATACATGGAAACATTTGATTCTGTTAAGCTTTAGGATGTGTAATATTGTTCTTGTCAGACTGTCTTATTTCTAATAAACAAGAGATCACATGTGTTTCTATTTTATGTTCTGTGAGTGCTCCATGCACAGTTTATCAAAATGGCCAATGAAGTGAAGCTGAATGACAGGGAACAAATAACATATCGGGGTTGGCTATTTTGAAACCATGTATTTTATATTTCTGACAGTCAGGTACTTAACAGAGGAATGTGAGTAAATCTATGAATACTGTGAATCATGTAAAAACAGAATTGCTTGCTTGCTTTGTTATTCTGATGTCACACCACCCAGACAAAACCAGGAACAGCGGTTTACTGTACAGTAAATACCTCGGTGTCCTGGCAAAGATGCAGGTGCTCGAGCTGCTCCGTGGTGTCAGCACACATCTAGTCAACCTTACTTAAACTGGTTTGGTACTCTGAGCAGTTCTGCCAGTCCTCTGAGAGACAAAATGCAAAGTTTTATCTACTGGTGAAAAGCAGGTATACACAGATTGACTGTTCTACTCTCAGATCAATTTCAAGCCACAACAAAGAAAACTCTGCAAGGTGTGAAGGCCACCGGCCTGAGCCCATTCATTTCTGTCCCCAGTCTTTCTGCTGTATGATGTATACTATCATCACTGGACTGTGAAAACTGGAAATGCATTTGTTGCATAATCCCATGGGATTTTGTATTATTTGTATCACAAAACGTGTGAGATTGTGTTTAAGCCCATGAATGAGTACTTGAACACAGAGTTTAATCTGAAAAAATCAAATTAGAAGGTGTTTAGTTTTCACTGGATGGTGAGGCAATGTGTCCAAACTACCACTACTTTGTATAGATTATTGCAGCTCAGATGACTGATTCCCTTATAATACATGTATTAATCACAAAAGTGGAGACATAATAAATCAATATAGTTTTAAACTGCAACTAATGAAACCAAACACAAGGTCTTCAGTATTTTGAACTGTGTATATACCAAATGTATGTATTTTCTACCATAAATTCATATTTACTAATTTAAAAAATAGTCTGCTTGCTTTGATGATTTGATTCATTGTTATAGCCTTGCTCACAACAGCAGTATTTCGTATAAAAAAGTCTCATAGCTTAGCATTTGGTTGTTTTTTTTAACATGACACCATCCTATAGTCACACGCCAGGATCCTGGAATCTGTTTACCTGCACACACACTCCTCCTGTTGGTCCAGGACATAGGATTCCGTGTCACACACCCACAAACCTGCACTGGTTCACAGTCCCACACCCAAAACGAAAGAAAAAAAAAAACACAACAGGATCTTTTAATAAATGTGTAACTATGCACACACACCTTTCTCAAATATACATTCCTCTGCAGGGTGATTAAAGAGGCTGCACTCAGTCTTGTCGAGGAGTGACACTTTAGCAGTGTAGTGAGTTGCAAGCATGGGAACGTTTGCCACTTACGACGCCAAGGTAGGTCTGAAACTTTACAGAGGAACTTTGGAATGTTTTTGAGGACAGCTTTTCTTTTTTTAAATGAGGTTGGGACTGATTACTCTATTGATGCAGTAGATATATAAATGTGTTTAAAAGAGGAAATTATATTATTTGGTTTGAATGTTTGCATCAAGTCACAAAATCATTTCAGAGGCTACTGCAAAGCTTAAATGTACAAAGCAGGCAAACTGACTAACCCAGTTTTGAAATTTGGTTTAGGTTTTTGGGATGAAACTAACAAAACTAACAAGCTTTAACATGCTTAAAGCCTCAGGTAGCTACAACAAGATTAGCATCTTGAAACAATAATAGATCTTTTTTCTGAAAACATGTAATTGTTTTTCTCTTTATGGCGGTGGATTTCTGGCCACATGCTGATCACTGTCCGGAGGTTACACACCTGTTTATTTACCACTCCGTCGGTGACACAGTCTAGCATTCGAGGCTTGTTTTAAGTTGCCTGCGACTCATATTGGACACAGGCAGCTAAAGCAAGTCTGGGACGCCAGAGACACATCAACGAGCCCAGCCTTGAGGATCTGCTGCCGTGTGAAGAGTGGAGAATTCAGAATTTAATCCAGAAGGAAGAAACATGGGAACTGAACTGTGCTCTAATAAAAACTGCATGGCTGTCCAATTTGTCTGAGGACAAAACCAGTAAGACAATCAAAGGCCTGTTTAGTTTCATGCTGTCTTGCCTTTGCAAAGTTTGATTATGTGAACTGCGACTCGTGAACAAACATGCAGGTTATAACTATGTAGTTGAATAAACAAAATTCTACAGTGTGTGTGAGCATTTGTGCATGTCTGACTTTACAGAGGAAACGCCTCTAGATTATGAACAGTTAGCAGACCATTCGTTTTCAAGTTGGTCAATACAAGAGGGCACATCTAAGAAGTATGATTTCAATGGAAAAGCTCAAACTTTAAGGTTTTCTACTGGGTACGGTTGTAATTCAATTTCAAGACACATTTTTGGTTTAAAATTTAGATTTTTTTCTGATTCAATATCAATGTCTTTTATTTTAATTACTGATGAACCTGGAAACAATTACCTTTTCACATGTGAAAATGAGCTGTTTAGATTACATATAGCACAGGACTGTATAAAACAGTAGTACTGATTACTCTGGTTGTTACGTTGTGGCACACATATTACATTTTACAGCAGAAGAAACCAAACCACACACCATCACTGCTGGTATACACAAATGTCAACATCAGGGCTTTTACATTTTTCTTTTGGGTGTTTTTTTAATTCTTATTTTATTGCCCAGTTTTCCTTGGTTAGATCACTTTTAGCAGAGGTGTCTAAGGAACCATGGGGGAGAGCGAGAACTATGACATACTACAAATTTCCTGGAGTTATTTTCATGGTGCCAGGACACCCCTTCTTTTTAGGCAAGCCCTTATCACCCAGGGCTTTTGACACACAAATAAATTACACACATTTTTGTTTGCTTTAATCACCTCATTGGTGCTTCAGCAGTGGTGTGTGCTCCTTACTGATCACACTGACAACCGATAGAGATCTGGTGTTGAATTCATGATTTACACTACATTTATTTATAACATCAGCCAAAGTAATGTCTTACATCTGCACCTGCATAAAATGTTTGAACTACTGTGCACATACATGGGGAGAACCGACTGTCAGCCAATGACTTTCATTCATTGTCCTTAAAATACCAGTAAATGACCAGTTTTATTGATAATATTACTAAATACAAATAGTATTTATTCATTATATACCATGTAGATAGTGACAGCTAGTTCCCACCAGACTTTATATAGCAGGGGCATTAAGCCCATAGGCTCTGTCTACACTGCGCACTGCGTAAAAGAATATGAGCAGACATGAAAACGTCAGTGAGCATCGGCGGCCATGGTTTTAGAGTTACAACCTCATTACCCCCCAGATTGAGGCTATACAACCTTAAACCCACAAACAGAAGGTTAGGTGGGATGAAATGTTCTTGTTTTCTCATGCGCACTGAGGCGTGCTTTTCAAGGTAAATATTCCTTTCCCAACATGAAATAAGCCTTTGTTGTTTGCCAAGAGGTAAAGAGGCGGAAAAGTGAGGAGGATCTGAACTGGTTTCCATGTCAAACACTTCAATTCACCATAGAAACTCAGATCTTAACGCGGAAACTTTATTAAACTGTGATGGTGGATTGATAAGGGCCGAATTTCTATCGGCCTCTTTTTATTGTGGGCACCAGGCGGGCTGACAGAGGTAAATTGCTCTTTTAATTAAAGCAATGCACCAGGGGAAATTGCTGTCTGAATATTGTCTCAGAGATGGGGGCCAGAGACAGTTGCCTGGAAACTTCAATCTGTCCACCCGCATTTATTCCAGATCACAGTTATGAGATAAAGTTTAATAAAAATCTTTTCCTCCGCCACCAACCAAATGAAATCCAACCCTTTCTGAACAAGCGAACACAATGAGACAGGACTGCGGAGGAAACCTCATGTTCAACATGTATCTCTCAGGTTCGTCCGGTAAAGAGTTATAGAAACAGCCTTTTATGATATAATTTCTTTTATATTCTGCTGGGTTTCGGTGTTCAGAGGCGGTGATGTTCCGTCTCCAGGGCAGAGCATTGTTCAGCCTTTTCAATCTGAAAGCCCGTCTGCTCTTTTGTCGGAAATCGGAAATCCTTTTTCCTGGACGCGTTTCCTGGCTTCTCCCACAGGAGACCGCGAAGGCGACATGCTTCATGCACTGGACCCAGATACAACTAGGATTTTAATCTATTTTAACTTTAGTGGAATTCTGTCATTTTTAGCCTTTCATTTCAGCTTGAATTGTAGGGACACCGGTCAGTTTTATAGCATCTTGCAAGAGCCGTTTTCTACTAATAGATTTTGGTATTTAGCTGATTTAAAGCAATCTGTCTTTAAAATATAGTTTGTTTCACCTAGATCTTTGACTTTGCTGAGTGGCCTTGCTTGTTAGAAGAGATGACATTCATTTCAAGAAAACTCTGGACAGATGTGGATTTTTTTTTTACCCCTGCAAAGAAATGATTGGTTATATTTTTGATGTATAGAAAGCATCTTGAAATACCTCTTTTTAACAGGATGGGCATGGGCACATGATCATGCTGCTGATGACAATGTGTCTATTTTGATTCCAGATCCAACAGAAAATTTGTTGAAAGACAGCAAAGGAACAGCATGGGGTCCAATAAATACAGGAGTACAGAAAGGTAAGTGTGCCAGGACAGTGACAGTGTAGCTCACTGGTATTTCATATTAATTAGATGATCTTGAAACGACTATGCTACTGAGATACAGTATTTGAGAAATATTAATGATGGAATAATAAAAATGGCTGTTAGGTATTTGTAAATTTATTTCTGGCCATAGTGACGAAGCTGATTTTATTTTTGAAGAATCAATCAGGCTAATACCAACAATGAGCCTAATTATTATAGTAGGATTAAAATCCATCAAAGGCTCATTTAATGTGTTTCTATTATTTCTTTCTGAATTCAAATTCAGTTTGAAGCTACATCTGATGCTGATCAACCATAGATCAACAGCTTTATGACCACAGACAAATGAGTATGTAAATATAAAATGGAATAAATTAAGTGCGTTGAGATAAGATAAAATAAACCCCGTCATCCACAGTGATGGACAGCTGCTGACAGATGTGATGTTAAACGACAAGTACTGGAACATCTTCTCAAAGTCGGGTCAAAGGCCCGAATGAAGACGTTTCTGACGGTTTTAAAATAAAAACAGCCTATCAGCTAATATGAAAAATATCTGACCAAATATATTTAAAATGTTAAAAACACCTTTAACGATCAGAATAAAATTAAATACATTATTTCACGAATACCAAATAATTCGATCATATAATCCAGAAACTCCAGGAAAAATAAATCTGCTTAACTTGCACTGAAATTTATTTTAAATTAAAGGATGTGCTTAAAATATTATGTGTAGTATATGGTTCACAATTATGTCTCTAAACTGATGAATGACTGACATCTCGCTAAAGTAATAAAGGGTGTTTAAATAAATCATTTAAAGAATAAATCAAATCAAATGTTTCGCACAGCAAACCCCATATAAGTATTATTATAAGATATTTAGCTTCGCTATTATGATTTGCAATTAAAGACTCTTTTAGGTTAATGTTGAGCCGTCGATGTTTTTGTCTCCACCCAGGCAGCGGGCAGATTCAGCTCTGGCAGTTCCTCCTGGAGCTCCTGTCTGACAGCACCAACATATCGTGTATCGCCTGGGAGGGCACCAACGGCGAGTTCAAGCTCATCGATCCAGACGAGGTGGCCCGGCGCTGGGGGGAGCGCAAAAGCAAACCCAACATGAACTACGACAAGCTGAGCCGGGCGCTGCGCTACTATTACGACAAAAACATCATGACCAAAGTCCACGGCAAAAGATATGCCTATAAGTTTGATTTCCATGGCTTGGCGCAGGTGTGCCAGCCGTCCACTACGGAGCAGGCCATCTACAAGTTTCAGGGTAACTTCTCCCCGATTCCCTTTCCCGGGATTTCCAAACTGAACCTCGCGGCTGCCGGCGTGGGGCCGTCGGGCTTCTCCTACTGGCCCGGTTCTCCTCCAGCGGCTCTTTATCACAGCCACAACCTCCAGCCTCCAGGGCCATTTGGCACCGTATCTCCGTCCCACATCAGCTGTGTCAATAACATCAACAGTCTGAGTAACATAAACAACCATTACAACTGACTTTTAATGCATCTTTTAGACAAACTGGAAGAATATTTACACCACAAGTGATACAGCAATGAACGAGGGATGACACAACAGAGAAAGATGTGGCAGGTTGCAAGGGAAGATACGTGGACGAGGCTATAATTGGCTTGATTTGCTTTTGTTAAAAATTTTTGTTTTTAAATGACGCGCAAGGATTGTTTCAACAACGTGCACCCCGCAGTTATAGATGCTGCTGAAACGAAGACATCGAAACATTTCATATATGCATCATTTTAAAATATAAGCAAAGACATTTGACATGAAATTTCTAGGCCCATCAAGACAGCCGCCTATCAAATTACGCACAGTAGTTTAAACCTTTACGTATTTCAGTAATTGCACTAGATACATTTTAGCCCATAAACAGATTAAACTGGAAATCGATACAAGTTTCCTTGATGGAAACAAAACGAACAAAATTATAGACTATTGTTCAAAAACAGTTTGTCTTTTTTAACAAAAAAAAAAAAAATACGTTCCTTTGCTGTTTTTTTTTAAATCCATTTTAGGTTAAAATACAAATACGTTTGTTTGCACCAACTAAAAGCGAGTGTCCTACTCTTAGTGGACTGTTGGCGCCATCTTGTGGTTTAATTAAATGTCCACATACCTGCCGTACCACAATACCCGAAAACGTAATCTCCTGAAATAATGTAACTTCACTCCAGAGATCAGATCAGAGAGTTACACCGCGTCCTTTCTTAAGTTCGTAAAGAAATAAACTCAAATTTCACTCACTCGCATTGAAAACAAAACTAGTACAAAGGTAATGATATAATCTGTGTGGCATAGGCTCTAATAGTAACAGAAACTGTGAATCCTTACACTACTTTGTAAATACTGTAGAGTAGAAACAGTCTCAGGCTGTTGCTGCTTTTAGTGATTTTGAGGTGAATTAGAATGCATTCATTGAAGATGCTCATACTGTATAGCTAATTCAACTGTACCAATCAAAGACAAATGAAGTAAATAAAATCTCTTATGCTCGTATGTCTTTGAATTACTTGTCAAATTCCCTGCTTCATCATCCAAAACACAACTTCAGACTTGTGTCACATGATTACATACAGCCAGCATGTGATGTTGAGATTCTATCTGCTGTTAAATGGGTTGTTTAGTGTGCAGTTTTAATTGGATTTGAATATATGGCACATTGTTTAATGATGACCAAGAAAACTGTCTTGTTAGGAAATCTACAAGGCAAAAGTAGAGACCATATAAATGTTCTGCTTGTGGTAGATACCATTATACTGTTGACTTGTGATACTGCCAAGATCTGAGGCAAGATGTGCCAGTAGGAAATGTTCTGCTCGTGGTAGATACCATTATACTGATACTGCCAAGATCTGAGGCAAGATGTGCCAGTAGAAGCCAGTTTACCTCATAACTGTGCTAATGACAAAATCTACACTATTTATTCTTCTGAAGCTTAACTGTGATGCACACCTGGCCCACCAGAGAGGTTTACTGATTCGCTAGTGACTCAGTCTATACAGAAAAAAATATAATAAGAACAAACTACATATCTGGCGTATCATAGATTTAACATCCAGATGCTTTGCAAATATGACCTAAGATTGAAGAAAAGATGCTTACTGATAAATCTGCAGCAGCATTGCTGAAAAAAGCATTTAGCTTCAAGTGGAGGCAGCTAATGTAACAGAACGAAGCTGCAGTATTGTAACTAAACATCTTCAATCAAACATTTTGTATTTTGATAGTTAGGCATCATAAAGCACATTGATTTGAGGCAGCCTAGAAAGAGTTGCTTTCACTTCCAAATGACAGTAGAAACCCTTAGAGTTCTACCAAGCAGCAGCCGATGAAACTGACTCTTGGTACAACAACTTTGCAGCTTTGTATTTGCTGTGTAACAGAGTAATTTCATCAGTACCCATTATTCGTTATAATTACATTGTATTTTGTAATGTTGCAGTTTTATGCTGCTCAAGCTCCAGTAGCATTGAGTTATGCCACATTGTGACAAAATATCATCAGCCACACGGGGGCGCCATTGCACTTCCAACATCAGAACACCATTTATATAACTAGGTCTAAGCCACAGAAGCCTCTGCAAAAGGCAGATTAAGCCTAAACCTAATTCTTTGACAGTGCAAGTGCACAGAGATTTAAGAACATCTGGACTGAGCATTATCAGACAATGGAACTGGCAGGAGGGCCATTACAGAAACAAAGATAGTAGGCTGCCTCTAGCAATGTAATAGGTGAGTGTCATTGATCAACATTTAGACAGCCGAGCATCGGTCATCTGTAGTGATAAAGTAGTAATATGGAAAATGCACTTTTTCTGTTGGCAATAAATGTATTGAATTTATTGACCTGTATATTCATATTTCAGCAATCGGAGGAAACAGGAAGTGTATCTATGACACAGGGAGGGGAGGGGAGACTCATTCTCAGTGACACTGTTTGTGTGTGACCTGCATATCAATAGGAATGACACGAGTCTCTATTGCAAACTGAATCTCTCACTCTCTGTCTCATATTTTGTGAGGACACTCACCGACATAACGCATTCCCGAGACCCTAACGCTTACCTTAACCATCAGATCTAAATACCTGACCCTCTTCCCTTATCCCTAAACCAAACCTAATTCTGACCTGAACCCTGAAACCAAGTCTTAAC